GCAAGGTCTTTCATTTCTCCTGCACCTGATATGGGGGGAAGTGCATTTTACAGCCACCACACTGGGGAGATGCACAGAGAGAGAGGGGGAGAGGGGGAGAGAGGGGGAGGGGGAGGGGGAGGGAGGGAGAGGGAGGGAAAGAGAGAGGAAAAGGGGAAGTGGCAGCTTCTGAATTGATGGCGCTTGGTTCTGTGGACTTAAATGCTAGCTCTGCCTCAGTGCTTCTCAGGCCTGGCTGCACATTAGAATCACCTGGGTGCCCAGACCAATTGGACGAGCATTTCCACAAGGGGGGTGACCTTGGCTCTGGCATTTTCCAAAGCTTCCCAGATGCCTCTAATGTGCAGCCAGGTGGGACACAGTGCCTACCTGAGGCAAAGGAGAGGACAGCCGCTGAGTCAAGCTGCGACCAGATGAGGTGACTCTTGCCCTCCTTGTGTGACTTGTACCTAAAATAATCAGCATAATTAAGTCTAATATTAGTAGAAGATTGGGAAGTTAAAAAAAAAAAAAGTATGTTACTAAATCTTTTCTTCGCGCCCCCCCTCCCTCCCGGCTCAGAAAAAGCAAGTAGAAAGCATCCCCATTATTACAAACGATTGGGGAGGAGAAAGGACCTTCCTCCACCTCAAAGCCAGAAAGTCTAAATTGTGGTTCCCAATTTTGGCTGCCCAGTGGAATCAGCTGGGAGCTTTAAAAATACTAATGCCCAGGCCTTACCCCCAGAGATCCTGATTTAGTTGGTCCAGGGTGTGGCCTGGACATCAGGATCTTTTCAAGCTCCCCAGGCAATTCCAATGGGCAGCCAGAGTCCTCTCACTAGTAAAACCTTCCTGGTGGCTCTTTGCTCTGGCTTCATCAGGATTGCCTTTGGCCTTTTCTTTAAAACACCCAGACCCTATTTTCAGAGTGATTTTGATCTGGGAGCTCCTGGGGGAAAATCAAGCATCTGGACCACAGGCTCTTTGGCCTCCCAGCTGCAGCTGGCTGCCTGGGGCTAAGATTCACTATCCTTGAGCTCACCTGGGCCATGACCTAGAGTCTCATGCATTAGGCAGCAATCCAGGTGCCGCCTCTGCCTCAGTGGGGAAGTCTTCATTCAAAAACACATTTGGCTCCCTAACTCAATGAGACCGAGATTTGAGTATCTGCAGCTGTGACACTAAGGTGACAGAGACATTCTAGATGGCATGAAGACCTTCCTAGTGGGCTAGGACCTCTGCCAGGGGTGGTTTTGAGGCAGGGCTGGTTGTGAAGGGCCCAGCACAAATAAATGAGGAATGTTCCTCTGGTAGGAAGAACATGGAAAGTCAGTAAAATGTGACCCAGCCCAGGGGGTTATCTTTCTTAGTTAAGGGGGCACTGTTTGGGGGCATCTTTGCAACTTGCCACACCCACAGCAAGGAGACCTCTTTATGGGGCAGTCAGCAGCCCATCTTTCTCTTTGCTATGAGGTTTGCGCATTTGTCAATAAATCGCTATCCCAGAGTCTCTTTCCAACCAATTTGCATCCCCCTAGAGAGGTAGTCTTCATGGTTGGGATGCTGGTTCTAAGCTCCAGAAGCGCCTGTTTCCTCATCCATAAAACTAGGTAAATAGCAGCCCTGACCTCACATGGAGTTGTGATTGTTGGGATTAAAGAGATTAACTCATGTCGTAATTAGCACCGGGCCGGCCACTCTCTTATTTCAGTGGGATTTCTTGGAGGCCTCCGGATTGACTTGTTAATTCTTAAGGTTTGAAGGACCAAGTGGTTGTCGAGGTATTAGAATCCTTCTCTCCCAGGGCCTGCAGGTTAGAGTAGGAACATGTTAAGCTGTGTGAAATTGCCTCGTGGGGTGCTCACCCTCTGTAGCCTGGACCTTTCACAAGTGGCTGTGCAGATCCTCGTCGCACTACCCTTCCTAGGAGGAGGCGGCACTAACTCCTGACTACAGAGAAGTCCCATTGGCTTAGCTACAACTCCTGGTTAGAAAAATACAATCCACCCCAAGGCCCGGGCTCCCCAGCTCCCCTCTGTTCAGTGGTTCACCAGAGTTCTTGTAGAGCTAGGTCTTGCCCACGGGAGCCTGGAGGCTGGCCGAAAGTGAGGCTGGCAGAAAGGCAGTCAGAGAGGCGGGCATGCTCCTAAGGGCTTCCAGAGGAGAAGGAGAGGCTAGATCCATGGGAAGAGCTATGGAAAATGGATGGATGGGCGACTGGGCGAATGAAGAAGTCTGTAAATCATGTCTTTTTGAGAATGTGCTCTTCGAGATAGAGTCTGAGGAGGAGAGTCAGGAATAATATTCCAGGCAGAGAAGGTAGCAAGAGTTGAGGTGGGTAAGTGGCAGGTAGTCACTCATTCATTAGGCAGGTGTGTCCTGAGTGCCAGGCACTAGTTTATTTGACACCCAGCTATGGCAGGGCGGGGTAGGGGAAGAGGGCACAGCTTGGGTTGGCTGGAACCTAGGCAACGGGAGATCAAGTGGAGGGGGTAGATTAGGGCCCTACAAAGAGGGGGGTGTCAGATACCAAATAGAGGAAGCTCACAACCCAGGTGGGAGCCATCTGGGTACAGAGTGAATAGTCCAGGATGGGCTGGACAAGGGACCCTTTGCAGGGTTTTCTTTAGACACTGACAGCTTAGATTTATGCATCACCTAAGCCTGATGCTTATTACCTCTCAGCCTCTAGTCCCGCCCACAGTCAGCCTGCCCCAGTGGGAAGGGGCCAGGGCCTTTGTTTTATGCACAACCTACAGAGTGAGCTGTTTCTTGACTTTTACCTTCACATAATTTTGTTTGAACATGACCAAACCAAAACTAAAAACAAAACCTGCCCCCATCCCTAGCCCCTGTCTTCTCCCTCCCAGCCTAAGTCTGTGAGAGTCAGTGTTATTCAGAGTTCTGTGATGCAGATCTTTTTTTCAAGAACAGTCTTCTTGCCAGAAAGTCCCCATCTTTCGCTTTGTTCCTCCCCCATCCAGGGCCTGCCCTCTTCTCCTTGGGTCTGTAGAGAACCTATTGGGCATTTCCCATCCTAGTTGGCCCTCCTTGTTGACCCTCCAGCCTTGTTGAACCTAAATCCTCAAATCTTTTACCCTTTCAAAATTGGAGGCTAAACCAAAGCCAGATTTAATCAAGAGCTTAATCTGTGACATTCTTACCCCAATCTCTGTTCCGTATGCAGAAGAAGCAGCCCTGGTGAATGAGGGAGAACCCAGCCTCTGAGGCAGCAGGCCTGGGTACGAGTTTCTCTCTCTTCCCTGGCAGGGTCGGCACAGGCAAATGGCTTGACTTTCTGTGCAAGGATTAAGTGAGAAAAAATATGTCAAATGTAAAAGAACCCTTAACAGAAAAGCAAGTGCCTGAATTCAAACTAAAACATACCTTTAAATAAGGTACATAACAACGGGGCTTTGGGTAAAGAGCACCAGTGAAAGCCTTTTCCAGTAAGCCGTGTTAAAGACAGAAGCTTGTGAGCTGTGGTCTCCCAGGCCGTGGCTTTAAGCAGCAATTTTTGCAGCACCTCCTATTTGCCGTAAATCTTAAACCTGTACAGTACCTGTTCTTTTAACATTAAAATGATTCGATTTTTGTTAACATTAAGCATACCCGATGCTTCAGGAAAATTTACTGTGTTTATCGTCTGGCTCCAAGTACCGTCCCAGCATCTGGGGTCTGGCAGCCTAGGAGCAAAGGTTTAGGGGAATCACAAATGTAATGCCCCTGAGACTGGCCCTGGCACAGTAGCAGGCACACCAGGACCCCTAATCTCCTTTCAATTTTAGGCCTTTTAATCTAAAAGTGAAGGTGACAACTGGCTACTGCATCAAAAGGTAGACTCTTTAAAAAACAAACAACTTTATCATCGCCATGTCTGTGAGGAAAAACAAAACAGAATCTTTCAATCCAGTGTGAGAGGTTTGGTGCAAGGCTGCTCCTTAGGGAAGTGCCCCGTGGGAAGGAAGCTTCCCCACGTGAGGGCAGTGGTGGTCAAACATTTTCATTACAATAAGAAAGTCACCCCAGATGAAGGGACCTGTGTGTAAGCTAAGTGGCTTCTGTTGAGAAGAATCATATGCTTGGAGGGAAAAAACACACCTGCATCAGAAAGTGACCATCACTTCCTTGTGGCTGGTACATGTCCTAAGGAATCATCACAGGAGAGCCACTTGTACCCCCTACACAATCCAGGTGGGGGGAATTTGGCATAGGCAAGAGCTAGGTGGAAGCAGCAGCAGCTTTCAGCACAGAAGAGGCTGTGACTGAAATGATGGATGCCTAAGAGCCTCTGAATAGTAACAATACTGCTAATATCACATTGTGTTGTTACCGCCCTTCACAGCCTACACGCACGCCTCGTGATCATGACCTCTCTCATGCCATTAGCTAATCCTCTAGTGGAGGGAGGCCAGGTGTGGTTGGAAATGAGCACCAGGGTTCCTGGGAGATGAGTGGCTTCTCAGGTCCTACAGCTACCAGATAGTGACCCTGGCCCCTACTTCAGTACGTGCCCCACATACTGGGCCACCCGGTAAATGCTCACAGAACTAATTAAACTTGACAAAGAAGATAAAAAAGCAAACCACTGCCTGTGTCTCCCTCTGGTTTAGTGTGTTTCTTTCTCTCATCATCGGAAATTCTGAATACACACATTTAGTTTAAAAATAACCTGGATTTTTATGATCTGCCGGAATGAACTTCGTGTCACAAACACGTTTGCTGCCTTCTTTATTCCCCAGGATTTGGCATAGTAATAATAATGATGAAGTGCTTCAGCAGCAACCTCCATCCTCAGATGATAAAGCCGATTAGTTACCCCTGGTTCTCTAAGCAAGCGGTGCGTGTGCCAGGAAGTAGGAGCAATTTTGCTGACATCTTTGCCTCCAATAGCAAAGGCTGGAGGGGCCCCTTTGGACTTTTCTGAGGGCTTCAAGTCCCTCCACGCAGTCTTCCCTGGGGCCTGGGAGAGTGAGACCTTCTTCCTGGAGAGCGTGCTGACATCCCTGTCTTCCCCAGCTGCCATTCTGGATATGTTGGTGCACGCTGTGAGCACGCAGACCTCCTGGCCGTGGTGGCCGCCAGTCAGAAGAAGCAGGCCATCACCGCCTTGGTGGTGGTCTCTGTCGTGGCCCTGGCTGTCCTCATCATCGCATGTGTGCTGATACAGTGAGTATCTGCTGCCTCTAAGATTGGGTCCCTGGCCCACCTGCCCTCGCAGGGACATCTACAGCATGCCCAGAGAAGAGGGCCACCTCAGCACAGTTTATCACTGTGATGTCTGATTGGTGTCAGCAAAGCCAAGAGGGACTTTGGTGACACCAAGCTGGGTGAAGGTCACGCACCCTGAGAGGGTCCCCAACAGTGGGTCGATTGTCTGCAGAGGCCAGTATAGAACCAAAGGCGTGCTCTCTTTCTCTCCAGTGTTGTGTTTGGAGCCCTCAGAGTTGTGCTGGGCACCTGCACGTGCTCCAGAGAGAACTAGAAACAGCTCCCGGCCTGCTTTGGGCAATAGCAGAAGAGCTTCCTCTCTGCAGAAGGCGCTTTGCAAATCCTAAAGCCACGTGGAAGGCCACTGTTGTTATTATGCTAGGCTGACGACAGCCCTTCCACTTTCTCCACCTCTCTGCACTCCTCATCCTCCAAAATGGAGGTTCCAGGAAGCCCTCCTGAGCCCTAGACTGATAGAGACCCTTCTCAGGTGTTTCTCACACCCTGCTTGCTTGCCCGTATCCCCTGACTGGACTGTTCTGCAAAGGGAGCCCCCCGAGGGCTGTGTTCCCAGCATCCAGCCAGATTTATTACCTGGAAATATCTGGAGACATCTAAGTCACAGAGCAAGCCATCAGAGAATTTATACCTAACTGAATATGCACGAGGAATTCACAGAATAGCCAAAGGCTGCTGGTCAGCTCGGTGTAGATTAACTCAGGGTGGAGACCGAGTGGATGGGCCATTGCAATGGGCTGGAGGAGGCAGCTGCATGTTAATGCAGGAAGGCAGACTTCAGCCTTCTGAGGTTGCCTAGGATTTGGACAGGTAAATAAGAGCCCCTGTCCTGTTTGTTTATTGGTTTGTTGCTGTTAAGGCATCTAAAGCACATGCTTCTGGTTCTGGTTGTTGACAGTAACCACAGCCTGCTCACATCCTTCTGGACCAAGCCAGCATTAGGTGGTGAGGGAGCTGGCCTTCCCTTCCTCCCCACACGGTCTCCATTCTACTCCCTCGGGTCTTGGAAAACACATTTGCAGGTAGTAAACAAGCAGCCCTGGTTCAGGCGGGGGCACAGCTCAGGCTCTGCCACTCATGAGGCCCCTCCCCGAGGGAGCAGGAGAAACCTAATGGACCTCTGGCTTCAGTTCTCACGGCTGGCTAGCTATGTGTGCTCCCTAGTCCTGTTTCTGTGACCAGGAGGGTCGCAGAGCTTAGGAACAAGACTGGCTGCCTATGTGGACCTCCCCAGAAGGGCTTAAAAGCTAATTTTGCCAGATTGTCTGGAGACAGGAACAATCCAGAATGCCTGGACAGCCTCTCTCATTCCCAGGGAGGCAGCCAGTCCCACATCTCCTCTACCCTTCCCCAGCCCGTCCTTGCCAGAGACCAAGTTCAGAATCCCTGAGCCAGAGACTAACCCCTCACCCCCACCCATGCCTGGGAATGGGGCACTCCTGAGTTGCAGAGTTGGTTGGGACCAGCTCATCCCAAGCCAGAGGGAGTTAGAGGCCTTGATCTCACTGCCCTGGGACACTCCTGGCTGGGAAGTGATGAGGGTCAGCCCACCTGGCTAACTAACCACACGAGAGCAGTCTCTGATGGATCTGGAATCAAGGCCTCTAGGTCCTAGGAGGCTGCAACTCATGAGGGACTGGGGCCCAGACAGACTGCTCTGGTCATCTGTGACAGAAGCAGGTTGAGCAGGAATGTCAGGGCCCCTTCTCAGCTCTGCTGCCCCAAGATTCAGGGGCCCCAGTAACCTTTCCATGGCAGTGCTGAGAGAAGGGGGCTGGGGTGGGGATCATGAAATGCCACCAGGCACCAAGAGGGACGCACAGCAGCAGACTTGTTTCCTCATCTGTTTTCGGGCTCATGTGAGCCAGGAGACCCCTCCCGGCCCCAGTTGGCGGTTGCGTAGACTGTATATACGTCAAGGTTAGACTGAACAGAAACAAAGTCCACCGTGGTTTCCCAAGGGAGACAGTCATCAGTATCTCCGGGCAATTAATGTCTTACTCAGTGCTTTCTTCTCTGCCCTTCTTTTGGGTTTTCCGGTTCTTTTTTCATTCCTGCCCACAGACAGGAGCAGGAGCATTCATAACCTTGCTGCTTCAGGACTCCGACTAACACAGGTTCCCCGAGAGGTTGCATTTGCCACAACTAGAGAATGCTAGTCCCCAGAGAAGGATTCAAAGCCGTCGGGATCCATGACTCCTTCTCTCGTTCTTTCCACGGGTCCCTTCAGCCCATCCATGTTCCCGGCTTTGCTGCTGGCAATACCCGATGGATGACACCCCTTCCATGCTCTCAGAGCCCTGCCTGCCTCAAGGGGCTGCTTTGTCCCAGTCCTAACAGCAGTTCTGAGGCTGTTACTACCTTTATGGAGTTCTCCAACTGCTCTTTACTGGAGAAAGCAGCTGGGAGGGTGGCCACTCCCCTCTGACAGCCATGGAAGCTGGAGCCAGGATGCCCTGTGAGCCCAGAGCAGAGCTGCACAAGTGGAACTGGTGCTTTTGGGTGGCCAAGAGGCGCTTTTGTTGTTGGCCAGCACCTGCCCCAAAGGCCACTGCCCTGCAAAGCCCTCAGCCCCCTGTCGCTCTGAAGGCCCCCATGAGAAGGCTGGTTTGGAGCCCAGAGCTGCCCAGCTGGGCACTCCTGCCAGGCTCCTGCCCAGACTGTGTTCTCTGTGTCTCTACAGCTGCTGCCAGGTCCGAAAACACTGTGAGTGGTGCCGGGCCCTCATCTGCCGGCACGAGAAGCCCAGTGCCCTCCTGAAGGGAAGGACTGCTTGCTGCCACTCCGAAACAGGTAAGGGGCTGCTTTCAGAAGGAGCCTTCTCTCCACTGGGAGACACTATTGGGTGGAGAAAACAACCACCTTCTCCAGGTCAGGGCAGAGATTCTTGGAGGATGAAGCAGGAAGAAAAGGAAGAGGGTATTTATCCTACCAAGTCAGGTTTAGTTTATTCTAAGGTGTTTCTTACTCAAAAGGGAGCTCTTTGATCAGTAATGGTGACTGTGTGACCTTTGACAAGTTACTTAACCTCCCTGAGCTTCAGTTTTCTTATTAAAAAGATGATGTGCAAATTGAATGAGTACTGATATAAAGTACCTAGTATAGTGTATCACAAACTGTAGACATGCAACAGATGTTCATTCTCTTTCCCTTGAGAAAGACACTTCCCCTCCCTCATTGGTGAAATGAGGGATTTGGCCTATAGAAGGTCTCTAGGACTCATTAAACTCTTACATCCCCTGATGTTCATTAAGATTACCATTGTTTCATGAATATTTTCACCAACATCCGCAAAAAAAATTGGACATCTGTACATGGGAGCAAACCTGTATCTTAGGAGCCCTGGTCTGAGCATCATTGGCTCAGGGCTCATGGAGTCAAATAGCTCCTTTATCCAGACTAGCTCTACAGTCTCACATCAACAAGTTTCTCTGGAATGTTATTTTGACCAATAGAGCCTATCATAAATTTAAAGTTCCTTTCCAGGAAGTAGTGGGTCAGGAGACAATCACCACAGGCTATCCCACCTGGGGGTGTCCTTCTCTGGTAAACAGTTGGCATTCCAGAAGCTCAAGGTTGCATGAAGAGGGTAGGAAGAAAGATGACTGGGAAGCTGGAATGCTGACGTATTCATTAAACCTGATGGTAACCTGACCTGGAGGGAACTGAAGGCCCAGGAGTGCTGCTTGTGTGTTCGTCATTTCTAGAACCATAGTAATTGTGCATGAGCAGTTCGTTTGATTTTGGAGGATGCTGATCCATTAATCCTCATAATGGCCTTAAGAGGAAGATGATTTGTGAGTGATGTGGGTAAACTAACTGCCAAAGGCCTGCTCGGGTCCCACATGAGTCCATGGGGAAGCTAGGGTAAGAACCAGGGCTTCTGAAGGCCCCACTCACATCTCTCTTCCACGACCTCAGGGGTACCATGCACTGAGCTAATGAAGGTAAATATTTTTATTTTATCTTTTAGCATCAATAGAAAAATTATTTAAACCTTTTAAAAGAATTTATAACAGATTTTGAACCATTTGTCTGCACCGCAGCAGAGTCATTTAGGGTAGAGGAATTTTCTTGTTCTTGTTACTTCTTCTTTACCCACATTTGAGAGGACATTAGCTTTGAGCCTGGGATGGGTCTGGCCTTCCAGAGACGGCCACTGAGGCTGAAGCCCCTCTCCATGAGATGACACGTACCTCCCCACCTCCAGAGGGAACAGGGCTAGAAGATGTCCAGGCCGAGCTGTGCTCAGGAACTCCTGGGTATTGGGTCCATGCTGCCTCATGGTGCCAGCCACAGAGGATGCCCCCTGGGTACTGGGTCCATGCTGCTTCATGGTGCCAGCCACAGAGGATGCCCCATGGGTACTGGGTCCGTGCTGCTTCACCATGACAGCCACAGAGGATGCCCTCAGGGCCCACCCATTGGGAAGCAATGAATCCATTCTTGGATGGCCTGAGGAGAAGCCATTCTGTTGCCACAGCCCTGGACCAGCCCCTGAGCTGCCCACTAAGCCTCCCCTTATGGGAGAACTGTCCACAGGCTGGATTGAATCCCCTCCAATTGAATTAAGACCCTCACAACAGGGTACATGCCACATTCTCTTCTGCCACAACTCATTCCACTTTCGGTCAGCCTTTCCTTTGGCGCCGCAAGCACACTTTCAGAAGCTGCTGCCCCTGGGGTTGAACCAGCAGAATTTGGACTCTGGCCTGACTGCCCAAGAGAAACCGGGTGACTTTGGCTGATGCATCTCCCAGTTTCTGTCCCAGGCCTGTTTTCCCAGCACGGCTGGGGTCTGGCCTGTAGACTTAACCTGTTTTTCCTCCTTCCAGTGGTCTGAGGAGCCCACAGGAGGAGTTGGGCCCAGTGGCCCTCCGCAGCCTGATGGAGAGAGGACTGCTTCAGGACGGCACAACGAGCGATGCCTGGGACGTGCCGCATGACTTCCTCCCAGCACCTGTGCAGCCTGTTTGTCTTTTGTGGGCCTTCCTTCAAAACTTTGTCAAGAACTCTGTCTGCTTGGGGTTATTCGGTGTGACCTGGAGAAGAAATCAGTGGACCATGATTTAAAGACTGGTCAAAAAAGAACTGCCAAGGTGTGGACTTCCTGTTTACCTAGATAAGGTGTGTGCCTCGTTGGCGTCTGAGTCCAGGCATGTGTAGTTGTCTTCTGCCAGTCAACACTGCTGGGCTGTGTTTCTTTTTAATAGGCCCATCTCCCCACAGCAGTATGCGCATGTGTCCTGCCCAGCACCGGAGATTCCTATAGTTACCTTTTTTTCTCATTGGCTTATTGGGGAAGGAGATGGAGAAAGATTACATCAAGACGCCAAGTGTAAGAGGAGCTGTGTCTGTCCTCTGTCCACGAGACCCTCAACCAGCCCGACGTCTTCCACAGACACATGATGTCAAGGACCTTCCTAAGCCGTCACCACGCTCGGAGATCATTTCTTATTTATTAGATGATGATGGTTTTATTTTTAATCTCGTAAGTCAATGTAAAAAGCATAAAACCCTTTCATACTTCTGCATTAACGATGTATGCCTCGCTGGCTGAAAAGTTACACGGATTAGAAATACCTGCCCTCTTTGGAACAGCTAAGGCTTGGGAAGAGCCACCCAGGGAGGTGCAGAGATGGAAGCAGAGGATGAATTGCTGATGGGAGCAAAAATCGGGGTTCAGAGGTCATGCCATTTAAGACATAAAGCAGATAAAAGCCCCTGGATACATTCCGATAGAAGAGTTAGCAAATCCGGCAGCGGATTTGTCACCTCTGTCGGGGGAGAGAGGACAAGAGTGCCTGTGTGTGCATCTACATGGGATCAGCACAATCTTACTAGACTGCTCTGTGATTAAACTATTAACTTCCTAGAGAGCCCTCCAAGAGGATGTTTAGAAATAGAGCATTCCAGAGAGCCACGGCATTTGGGGCCACATCCATGAAAGGGGGACCAGCCGTTTCTTTTCCATGGTGTTGCTTGGTTGATTTGTTTATTTCCAAAAGGAGAAACTTAACTTTCCTATTTATTTTCAAGCATTAGGAGAAATATTCCAGTGATTTTTTTTTTCTTTTCCACTCAGGATGCTGGTTTTATTAACAAACACTCTAACAAGCCAACTCCACCTTGTGGGTCTCACTTTATCCTCAGAGAGAGGGAGCAATTGTTCTCCTGGGCATCTGGATCCGTTCTGACCCATTGGGCCAGCCTGTGGGAAGCACTGGTTGCCTCCAGCTGAACAGTGGGGAGCTCATCCCTAGGAATTTTCATTAAACTTTGGAAACAGAATAACAGTGAAATACTATATAAACCTCTTATGTGAGGGACCTCCATTCACTAACGTTTGAAAAATGAAAGCTCTCTACCTGTTAATTCTTCAGTGCATCTAGCTCCTCACGTTGTGAAAGGGACCTTTAAAATATGTCAAGTTGGCTTGAAATTTCTATCAGGTAATTTTGTCCTCCCCTAACCCTTCTTTCCCAGTCTATTTCAATGAATTTTCTCTTTATTTCTTACAGCTGAGACAATGATATGGCCTGAGTCTTCACTCTGGCACCTTTATTGAATGAGGCTCACCCCAAGCACCAAAAGCAGAAATGGTATCTGTTCTCCAGCTCCCGGGTTTTAGTTATAAAAGAAGATAGGTTTAAGTGTGCATTCCTTGGGCCAGACCTACAGCAGCAGCAAGGTGGGCTGAGGCTTGACTGCAGCATTTTGCTCAGAGACCAATGCAGTTGACATTGGTGTATAGACACCCATTTACACTCACTTTTTTCATCAGACTCTCCTGAGAGTCTGAGATTCTGGTTTAGAGAGACTGTTGAAAGTGGAGTGGCCTCACTTGTTTTTAACTTGAGATCACATCTTTACGTTAGGACAATCTTTCCTCAGTCTTCTAGAGGCTATTTGAGGCCTGACTGCCTTTAAAGAGGATGAACTGATGTGAAAATATTTCGTGGGGCTTTCTCCACCCAGTGGATGGCAGGATCGGTGTCCAGTCTGGGCATCCGAGAGCCCATGCAGAGGTGTGAGAAGAGGAGGATGGAAGCAGAGGGAACCTTCTTGGTTCCCTGTGGGGACTTCAGATTTATTGTCTGTGAGTGCTCTGGTCCTCAGGTCCTCAAGTTACAGTTGCCGGTGCCCCCTTCCTTGTGCCTGTACAACCATGTAGTGACTGGTCTCGAATGCGTGCCTCCCTAAAGGGCCTCTCGAGTCAGTCCTCTGTAAACCAGCAGGTCTGAAAAGAGTCGGAAGCAGAGGCTGGGGTCAAGGCAGGCCTGGGTGGACCTTTGTCCATGTCCCAGGATATGACAGCCTTGCTTCTTTGGTGATTTCTCTTTTAGAAATCAAGTGGCCAACAAGCCTTGGATTCCTGTGCCATTTCATGGCATTGGTACTTCCTGGGTTAGCTGTAAAAATGCCCCCTTTTCAGGTTAAAGATGCATCTTCTCATGCATCTCTGCAGGTTCCCTGTGTTTCCTTGCTTTGTTAGAAAGCTAAGTGTTCATTACAATGGGGGAATCATTCACGAGACCTGACCTGGTGAGCAGTCGCACACCTGGGAGTGGAGAACTCAGCTGTTTCCAGTCTGTCTCAGAGACGTGAAAAGCTCCCATTTTAAAAAAATTAATAAATTTAAAAAGCGAGGGAGGGGGTGCTTCCAGATCTTTTATGGAGCCTGGATTCTCCCACTGCTCTATAGGCTGTGACTTCCTGAAGCATACCGGGAGGAGACATTTTCTTCTGGATGGAAAGATATATAGCCACCAATCCTGATCTGGAAGACATGTCTAGACACACGGGGAGCCAAGCAAGATGTGAGCTTGCCATTGTGTTCCAGCAGAGGAGGTGGGCAGAGTGTCCCCAGACTCTATTTTCCTACAGAAGGAGAAGGAAGTGGTCCTAGAGCTCCTTGGGAGACTGTTCTCTGCAGGTGGAGAAAAGCATCTGGCATCTTCACCCAGGGTTGCCAGGGCCAGGTTGTCTCAGTGCACGTGGGCCACTGGTTGCTTTTCCAGGCAATTTTGGCAGGAATGGATCAACGAGGCTCCAACACTACTCAGGAGATCCCAACCCCTTTGTAGGGTATGGGCTCTGATTTCTCCCAACCTGCTCAGCCAAGGAGGGGAGCACGATTCAAAAGCCCAGGAACAAAGGGGCATCAGAGAAACACACGAACACATACATTTGTTCTTATGTTCTAATGTAAGACCTGTTCTCTCTACTCATTGATTTTATCAGGCTTTCTGAAAGATCTAGTGGTAAACACAACACAGAGAATGCTGAAAAGCAGCCCCTCTTCCAAGTGTAATAACTTACTGAAGTGTTCAACTTTTCATTATCTTTATTATAACAAACCTGATGCTTTTTTTTTTAGAACTTGTTACTCTGACTTCTGTATATGTTGCACTGAAAAGGTTAATATTTAATGTTTTAATTTATTTTGTGTGGTAAGTTAATTTTGATTTCTGTAATGTGTTAATGTGATTAGCAGTTCTTTTCCTTAATATCTGAATTATACTTATTTAAAGAGTAGTGAGCAATATAAAATGCAGTTGCATTTTTCAGTAATGTGCATTGTTGTTCAGTTGTACTGTACCTTGTTTGGAAGGATGAAGGAATGAACTCTTTTTTGTTTTTTCCTAAATCAAGACTGGAGCTTTTCTTTCATGATTGGGATATTGCTGAAGCAAATTACGATTTTTCTCTGCAAATGTGAATGATGAGAAAAACTTAGATGCTCTTTTTCAAAATGTGGGAATCCTAAAATTAACCACAGTTTATCCCTGTCTACTTGAAGAAACCAAATTCTCTGAAGTTCTTCTCAGTATATAAGTATTTCATCTACTATTTGTCCAACAATATGCTAACTAATGTGAAGGAAAATATAAAATACACAATCCCTGCCCCAAAGGAATTGGATCTGGCTGGGAAGGCTGACATGCAGAAAATAATTCTGAACTAGTTCTAGACAAAATACAAATAAACCGTGCAATTGGAAGGTAGAGATCATGTGTTAATAGCTGTGGTTCTCAAAGTGTGCAGCATCAACATCACCTGGGAACCTAGGAATGCAAATTATCAGGCCCCACCCCAGACCTATTAAACTCTAGAGGTGCCCCATGCCCCCTCCAGCTTCCAGGTGATTCTAATACATGCTGAAGTTTGAGAACCACTGTGCTCTAGGACTCAGCGAAGAGCCAGTTAGCGCGGGGCTACACTTTTTAGGAAAAGCTCTATAGAGGCTTTGCAGAAGAAGTGCAACTTAACACAACTTACTCTTAGTGTTCAAAGTTAACAGCCATCAGAAAGTACAGTCTTGAATAAAGGCCTGCATTTATTTGGATCTTCTCTGCTCAGCCCAGTTGAAGGGAAAAACAGGCCTGTCTGTCTCCTGCCACACCCCCACCCACACCCCACTCACTCACCCACCCCCGTTTCCCACTGCCCCGTTTCTACTGTAAGGAATTGTTCTAAAACTGTCAACCCCGTTCTCCCAAGCCTCGCTGCACTTCTCACCTGTGTGTGGACCTCACATGTTTGACAGACATGAGGAGCTCATAGAGAAGCAGCGGAGAGTGAAACAGTTGCTGAATGGCATGAGATCTTGGTCCCCAAGTTCAGCTTTTTGTAGCGGTGTTTGAGCGTATGGAGCCTGTTGTCCAGGCCCCAGAGGACTTGGGATCAGCCTAACTTGCAGGAAGATGGAAACCCAGGCAACAGCTTGTCCAAAATCCGTGGACTGGCGTTTGTCCCTCAATAGACCTTTACCCACTCCTTAGGAGAGGGAGGGAGAGACCTGCTACCCATACATGGTGTTCCCCCTTGTGACCCTACTCAGTCTTCAGGGACATGCCCAGGCCTTGTTTCTAACCCGTGGCATGCTCTGCTTGTCCTGCTCCTCCTCCTCCTCCCCGGTTTCCAAGCCCTCTTCCTGCCAAGATAGCCTGCCTGCCAGACCGGTGTCCGATGGCTGGCCCTGGTCCTAGTCAGGTGTGCTGGACTGTCCGGGGCCTTGGGGGTGGGCCCATCCCAGGAAAAGCACAGAGCTTCTCTCATTTACCCAGGTGACCTGCAGGTGCTAACCTGAATCCATGTTCTGGACTGTTTTGGCCTGGTCTTTTTGGATGCTCTTAGCCCAAACTTCAGACCCCTGTTTTGCCTGGTTTCTGTGTGCCCTGACTCCTGCCTGGCCCAGTTTTGCGGTGCTTGAGTGTGAATTAGCCTTGCCTCCACTCAGCTCAGAGCTCCTCGCCCAGGACCCGCCTAGAATTCTGGCACCAGCACTCTCCCCTGTCTCCTGAAACTCCCTCCTCCACATTTGCTCCTTGCAGGACTTGCTACTTCCAGCAGGCCCTGAGGTTTCTGCCATGGCCTTTCACCTCCAGAAATAGGGAGCGATGTGCCCATGGTCATACAGGCTGGGTCTAGCAATGCTTGTTCCACCAGGCTAGCATCTCTCACCCCAGATCAATTGAATTATAGAATCCTTGGGGGTGTTTTTTGAAAATCTCTCCCAGTGACTCTAATTCAGTCCCTAAGGCCCTCTGGGATACACCAAGCCCCAGGGAGCAGATGGCATAGGAGAGGTTTGATGCCTTGAGCTGAGAATACCCACCCTGGTACCCACGCAGGGCATCCCAGCCTGGTCCATGCTTAAGTATCCTTCACATCCAGCAGATGTTAGCCCCTGGGGAAACTTGGAGATGTGGGCCTCCTTGCCAGTGGGATCGTGTGACGCAGAGAAGCGAGAAAAACATCTCTGGGAACACGGAGTGTAAGGAGTACCACACAGCTTGCGCCTGAGGTCATACACACGTGGGCAACGGCTGTTCAGGAGCCAAATTTTGCAACTGGGAATAAAAATATGGCGACATTTCTGCTGAAACGGAGACGAAAGAGACAGGGAAAAAGGCCTCCTTCCAGGCACGTTGGCTCCGGCGGAAGCTTCAAGCCCTGCTGTGCGGCTGCGCAGGCGCCCTAGGCTGAGAGCAACCCTGCTGCCATGAAGTCTCCAGGCAAGGTCAAGTTCTGCGGGGGAGCCCGTCTCGGAGGTCAGACGGAGGGAGTCCAGAGCTGTGCAAGGGACAACTCCGCTACCTGGGGCGGGCTGTCCTGCACATCCCAGAGAGGGACTCCTCCGTCTGGAAATGTGACGTCCCAGAGGACTGTGCCGAGGAGCCGGCAACACTTAAACCCGATCCCACCAGAACAGAACGAGGAGCCACGCCCCTCCCCTGCAGCGTGACTCTCCCACCTGCCTTTGTAAAAGAGCCCCCCCAACCAGAACACAGGGGGTCTGTGCCCCTGTGGTGGAAGAAGGCCTGGAAGTGAAGACGGAGCTATTTCATCCCCACTCCCTCCCTGCTTGTCTCCACCGTAGTTATGCACCCAAGGCTCACTCCCTTCCTCCCCAGCTCCGGCTCTCACCACACTTCACTGACGCCGCTTCCTCCCCTTGACCCTGCTGCCCTGGGGTGGTAATGGCTTCCCGCAGTTACCAGTTTAACTCTGCCAATCCCCCCACCACACACTTGCTCTTTAATTTCTGGAAATGCTTAACCAGAGACTAAAAATCCAAATGCCTCCAGGAGTGAAAGTGGTCATCTGAATTAGTGCAAGGGCTGGATGGAAGCGTCAATGCCCATGAAAATGTCTGAATCTGGGTGGGGGGGTGGACATTGCTATGAACTGCAGGGCGAAGACGCTTCTCAGTTCTACCCGGTGGTGGAATCCAATACGGTGGCCAGATTTCCCATTTTTTCAAGAGGAGCAGGAAATCTGGATTTTTTCATAGAATATCTCCATTTCTAAATGTGGCTAAAATGTATAAACCATTCTGTGACCCACGGAAGTCTGTCTGCCAGTCACCGTCCGTTTGCAGCCTCCACTCTCAAGCTGTCTGCTTGTCTCGGGTTCTGCCAGGCCGCTTCACGCCTCTCTGCTTTCACGGTCCTCTTTGCTGGGAATGGCTTTTTTTCTGCTGCTTTGCCTGACAAACTTCTGTCCTTTCAAGAACAGGCTCACGCCTCACTTTCTCTCTGAAGCCTTCCAGGAGCCCCCAGGCAGAGCCTTCCCCATGCACCCAACAGCACTTTATGCAGGCTTCTTTAAAGGCACACATCTCATTGTGTCGCCACTGTCTGTTGACAACTCCTCCATCAGTTGTCCTGTGCCCGGGGGTCATCTTGCGCCCCAGGTCATGAGCTCCTCAAGGTCAAGAACCTCTGTCCTGTGTGTCATTGTAGCCCAAGCATTTAGCCCGATGCCTGAGGAATAGAGTGTAATGCAATAATATTTTGTTGACAAAATCAGATATGTTGGGTTTGGTTGGACCAAGGTATGTCTCTGGAGGCAGGGGACAAATGTCACATGGGATCGCTGGGTCCTGAGGGGCTGCGTTATTGGGACTCGGTGTTGGCTGCTGCAGTTGGACACCTCACAGGTCAAGTAGGTCTTTGTGACGCTCCCTGGTTTCCTATCTACTGTGAGGAGCTTTGCTTCTAGGCAAAAGCACATTACGCATTCTGACCAGTGCCTTACCAAGAAAGTTGTCACAGCCTAGGTGAATTTGACAGGAATGTTTATTCCTCTTTTTTTCCCCAGCTTTATTGAGATGTAATTGACATATAACATTGTGTAACTTTGAGGTATACAATGAGATGATTCGATATACATGTCTGTTCCAAAATGATTACAATACGGTTAGTTAACATCTCCATCCCCTCACATTTTTGTGTGTAGTGAGAACAGTTAAGAACTAATCCCTTAGCAACTTTCAAGTATATAATACAATGTTGTTAACTAGAGCCACCATGCTGTACGTTAGATGCCCAGAACTTATTCATCTCATAACTGGAAGTTTGTCCCCTTTGACCAACATCTCCCCATTCCCCCACCACCCAGCTCCTGGCAACCACCACTCTACTCTGTTTCTCTGAGTTCAGCTTTTTCAGATTCCACACACAGGTGATATCATGCAGGGTTTGTCTCTGTCTGACTTATTTCACTTAGAATAATGCCCTGAGGGCCCATCCATGTTGTCACCAATGGCAGGATTTCCTTCTTTCTCATGGCTGAGTAGTATTCCATTGTATATATATGTATGCCACATCTTTATCCATTCATTTGAAAACGGACGCTTAGATTGCTACCATATCTTGCCTATTGTGAATAATGCAGCAATGCATAGGGAAGCGCAGATAATATCTCTTCTAGAACCTGATCTCGTTTGCTTTGGATATATACCCAGAAGCAGGATTGCTGGACCATATGTTAGTTCCGTTTTTACTGTTTTGAGGAACTGTTTCCATACTGTTTTCTGTAGTGGCTGCATCAATTTACATTCCCACCAACAGTGCACAAGGGTTTCCTTTACTCCACATCCTCACCAACTCCTGTTGTCTTTTGTCTTTTTTTTTTTTTTTTATAGATTGGCACCTGGGCTAACAACTGTTGCCAATCTTTTTCTTTTTTTCTTTTTTCTGCTTTATCTCCCCAAACCCACCCTGTACACAGTTGTATATCCTAGTTGCAGTTCCTTCCAGTTGTGGGATGTGGGACGCCGCCTCAACGTAGCCTGACGAGCGGTGCCATGTCCGCGCCCAGGCTCCGAACCCTGGGCCGCCGCAGCGCGCGAACTTAACC